TGGGGAGCTGAACAAGGTAGAGTCCAGGATTTGGCACTTTCACAGGTGTGCACATCAGGGGGTTTGAGGAGGAAGAAGTTTGTGTACGTGTGTGTGTGTGTGTGTGTGTGTGTGTGTGTAAGCAGCCAAACTGGCCACCTGTCTTTCCCTTGTTGTAGTTTTAGTGTTTCCTTTCATCCGGCCCTCGGCAGCACAGCTCCCACTTGGAGCAGTTAGCCTCCTGCCGTGTGTGGCTGTGTGTCCATGTTTGACTGTGTGTGTGTGTGTGTGTGTTTGCATAGCTCAGGTCCCAGTTGGATTGGAAAGACTAATGTTCCTAAAGGTGCATTTTGCTCTTTCCTCCACGTTTTATATCTTTGTTCTTTATGTTTTATTGAGACAGTTCAAGTGAAGGCAGGAAGTTGGCCAACAGGCCGGTGGAGCAGGAGAGGACACCAGAGGAAACTTCTGCTCCAATGTCAACAGGAGGTCATGCTTCAGGAAAAGCACAGCTACCTATCCATCCCTAATTAATAGGCCCTATTCAGCTGGGTACCATCTGAGCACAAAAACATGGATGAGTTGGAAAAAAAACAGGAAGTACTCCTCTCTCCTCCCCTGCCTCTCATGTTATGACAGTTGAGAAATGTGAAAGTGACTAATTTATGTTTAGGAGATAAGGTCCAAGGTAAGCCGCATATTTCAAAAAACATACTTTGCTATAAAGTCTGTGGTGCTTGACGTGACAGTTGCACGCTTTACACTCGGTTCCCCACAGACATGAAGTCTCCTTTGTCCACTTTTGTAAACTGCAGGTTTGATGATCGCTGAAAGACTAAAGATTCCAGTGATTCCAGATTAAATATAAAATTATGTTAAGATTTTACAGTGAAAAAAAACATGGGAGGAGACAGGATGCTAACTTTAGCTCCAGCGTTTAACTCCCCCCAAGAACCTATTCTTCTTGCTCTTTTCCTTCAGCTGTTCCCTGTTTTCTTCTTTCCACTAGTCACTTCCTTCTTCTGCCTCCTCTTTATGTTTCAATCAAGTTACTGCAAAAAAAAAAAAAGAAAACTTTTTTGTCCAATGCTCAGTATTCCCAAAGGCTAGCATTGGCTTGATATTTCGAGTGAAGCTTAAAGTATTAGCCAATTGCAAACATTGAAGGACCTGAAATCAGGTTTGACATTTTGGGACATTTTGCCAGTTTGAAACTGAATATTAACGCACACATTACACATGCTGCCACCTACTGGATGATCTGAGCTGCTAGTCATGTTTGGTGCTGCTTAGCTTTCCTATCATGTTTTCTTTGAGAGGCTTAACAGTGGTAGAATACCAAAGTAGTGGGACTGGTTTGTTGTTTAATGCTCTTGCCTTACAACAAAAAGTGGTCAGTGGTTTGATCCCTGCTGGCACCTGATGATCTTGCTGTATGAGTTTGCATGTTCTCCGTGTTCCTGCTTCTTCAGTTTTTCTCCAATAGTCATCAGAACTAGATTATTGAACTGATTCTAACTTGACCATAGGTGTAGATGCTATAGTACTCTTTGGGATTGGCTGAAGCTCTCCGGTGACTTTGAAAAGTACTCAATGATAAAAGATGAATAAATGAATAATTGAAGAAGACCAGATGTAATGACTTTCACCATTACATCTCCAGCAGTGAGTGTGGTTTTACTTATTGAAGTGAGAAGTACAGGCTTATTTTCTTACAGAGCTGTCTCCCAGTTTATTGCTGCTTCCTGTCCACTTCTCCTGAGCTTCATGTGTGAAGTCAGAGGACCATGTCCCTGTGTCATATGGGCTTAACAGTAAAAGTAAAACTAACTGGAAATGGCCCCAGAGCCTCAGCAACTCCCATTACGGCTCCTACAGCCATGTCAACGCACTGCCTGTCTGTAACCTACCAACCTACGGTTGAAAATATCGGGACAAAAGCTGCTTTTTATTAGTCCAGCCGTCAGCACGAACATGCCAGATTTCCATGGAGGCATCTTCATCAGAGACCATTACACTGACAATAAGAACCAGTCGCTCGTCCAACCTCCGGTTCACCTCGGTCCAAAACCGCCCACTTAAAAACGCCACAGCAGTCTGCCCTCTCAGCTGATCTGTTTTCATCAATGTAAAATGCAGAGCTCATTAGACAGTTAAGCTATATCACAGATCTTTGCTGCTTAGCTGTGTGTGTGTGTGTGTGTCTGTGTGTGTGTGTCTGCATATGCATATGTAAGTTCATCTGCCTGTGAGTGTGTAAATGGTCATCTGTGCCTGGGTTAAAACGTGTGTGTAGGCGTTAGGGGGAACCTGATCTGGACTGTGTAGGAGGAACCCCCCCCCCCTCCCTTCCTCCCTCCTCCTCCGCCTCCCCTTCTCCACCATCAACACCACCACATCCACCACTCTGCTGCACAGACAGACGGCCTGCTATACAGATCAGGCTCTCAGACTAACCGGACCAGAAGTCATTAGGACACAGTAGACACACACACACAGCGCTTTTGTCAGAGCTATTGCTTCCTTTACAGAAACCCGCAGCAGTAAGATTATCTGCCTCTCGTCAGATCAAAAAAAAAAAAAAAAGACCCAAGATCTTTCAAACAAGACACAGGGAGCTTTTCAAATCGTTGTTTCAGGAACTGAAGAACAACAGGGACCACTTACTACACTTTTAACACGTGCCCTGAGATTTAGGTCTATTGTTGCTCCGTGTTATAGTTTGAGGGGAAAAATCAAGTCTGGCACAGAAGTTTAAAGGCTTTTCTTAAACATTAATGCACTAGAATTCTAATCTGTTTTTGGTGTGAGAGGGATTCACCGTAGAAGGATTTCTACAACTTTAGTTCAATATTTGTCTCCTGAAGAAGGTTCTGGAAACATTTTTTTTCTTACTCTGTCTTTAAATCTCTTTTCCCCCGTCATCACCTCGGTAAATATTTTACCCAAGTCCACGTCCTGCCTATGACATCACTCCTAGGACACATTAACTCTAATCCTGTGGCGGGCACTCACTGCTGCTTATGGTTTTTGGGTGTTTGTGGGATTAAACTCGCAATAAATCAGCTTTTTATTTCAGCACCCCTTTCCCTCAAAACTGTGTTTTGGCTGCAGGATCAAGTGCCCCTTTAATTTGTGTTGGTTATTTGTCTACACCAGACATTTGTCACATTATTGGGAAAAAAAAAAAGTCCCGACCTAAACGGCATCTTGGTCGTCAAAGCTGCTTTTTTAGTCCTGTTAAAAATAATTTGGAAACGCCACACCAGTGCAGCACCGACTGGGATCTGCCTCCATTAACAGAACGGCTCATTTACATCTCATTTAATGATGGAAAATAGCTTTAGCAACGCGGCGGTGGTTTTATAAAGCTGGACTAGGACACTATAGACTGTCTGCGGACCGTGCCGTACCAGATCCCACTTTTCCAAAGGCATTTAGTGCGTACTAAAGTAGTAATAAAACCTATGATAACTATGAGGAGAATCCATTCCTAACATCCCCTCGCTCACCCTCTCTCACTCTCTCTCTCCCTCTCTCTCTCTTTTTCTTTCACTCTTTCTTTCTGTCGTTCTCTTTCTCATCAGCCACAGTGTTTCCAGGTAACCACAGCTCTGGTTTTCCGTAGAATTGCATTTTGAACATTTGCTGCAGATCTCCAGGGGGGTGTGGAACCAGTAATTAGGTGTATGGCAGGAAGAGCAAGTATGAAAAACAAAAATATGTATAATAAAAATAAATTCGATGATGCCTAAAAAAAAAAAAAGAAAAAGAAGAGGCAGCATTCCCTATGCCTAATGCCCTGATCTTTTTCCATGAGAGTAGGAAAGAGATTTAAAGGGGGGAAAAAATCTGCGGAGGGAAGCTGTAGGAGAGGAACGGACTTTGGATTTGATGGAAGGAGTGAAAAGAGTTTGTAAAGACAGACAGACAGACAGAGACAGACAGTCAACAGTACCATTTACATGTTTGTTAGAAACTGGACTCAAACCTCGAAGTCGTTTTCTTTCAAACAAACCTAGTTGATGTGTGAACCACACACACGTAACCAAATCAAAAAACCTCAAACGTTGCCTGTGGATGATTCAGTCCTGCTGCCAATATGGCATTGAACACTAACATGTGCTGCAGGTGTAATGTCATCATCAACATCATAAATGTGCTCAGCTCCACATGATCCTTATTGTTTGCTGCTGCTGCTGCAAAAAAACACCTCACGAAAACAAGGTAAAATAACAAGTAAGTCAAATATATAAAAGTCTTTGAACAGCAAACGTGGAGAAACTAATGTAAAATTAAAACCAATAAAAGCTCTCACTTCTATAAAATATTTAGATTGACAAAGGCCGAAGACAAAGGACATTAAAGACAGGCGAATATCAGGGACAGTCTTCCTTTGGAGGACCTTTATACTTCTGGCGTGTTTTTGACCTAATGTCTCTTTGTTTTTCATTTCACTTCGGTTAGGTCACTTCACTTTCCTACTACTATCTATTCCCATGATATTATTCATAACTAATAATTTCATATTAGTGTGTGTCACTTATGACAACTAATGAAATAACTAGTCTAGAATTCTTAGGGTTTTTGGCTCCTTCATCAGACAGTGGTGAGAAAAGGCCTTTTTTTATTAGAATTCTTCCAAATTCTTTTACTTCAAAATGACAACTTTAAAAAAACTCTAAGTTTTACTGAGGGGGTGAATGACGTCACATATTTTATTGTACCACTTACAGATTGATAGAAAGATCCAACACAGGTAGGATGAGGGTAGGTGGTGCGTGGAGGAACATGCTGGAAAGCCATCACAAATCACTGCCTGTGGCACTCCAGGGAAAAGAGAGGAAGAGCAGAGGAGGGAGGAGAGACGGAGCATGTGGAAAGGTAAAGGAGAGGACAGTGAAGGGACAAGGGCAGAAGTCCAAGGAGCCGTACCTGCAGATTCGATTCAAGCTCTCCTTCTTTTTTTTCCTTTCTTTCGCCTTTCTTCTGCCCTTTAATCCCCACTTGTCCGCCTCATCTTTTGCCCTGGTCTCTCTGATCTTTGTGCCCCAAAAGAGATGCATAAACTAGGGGGGAAAAAAAGGGAGAGAGTGCGCGAAGGAGTTTTTCAGATGATGTGAGCTGCAGGTGTAGCCGCTGTGGAACTTGTATTTATGCTTGCCTTGCTCCTTCTTGGGTGAAGGAATCTGTTTGAAACTTTTGAATGTTCTTTTTTGCTTGTTTCCGAGAAGAGCAATAACTGGATAAAGTCACCGTTTGGCCTTAAAATGTGATCCCAACAGGACAGTCTGTGGAAACTTTAACTTGATCATAACCTCTGAGTGGGCGATCACGCCGCTTAAATACCACCAACATACGAAGGAAATCAACGTCCAGATATACAAAAGAATTTATTGGTCATCTTGAGTTATTTTCCAGCATTAACTTTCAACAAAACGAGTATTAACCCCCCCACACACCTCCCCACATTACAATGTTCCAGCATGTTATATCAATAATGCCTCTCACGACATCAGTCCTTTTACACCTTTAACCCCCCCCTCATCATCATTGACCCCAAAACGCCGTATGCCTGTTAAATAACATAGTTTCATTATATAATGTTACAACACATAAATATACATTTGTATTTCAGTTTACACAATAATAACACACAGCTTTTGAATACAAATTTGTCTTCCATAGGTTTTGCGTGTTGTCTTACGATCATGTGCCATTTGTTCCTCGGACTCGGCCAACAATGGGAGTCAGTACAGTAAAAGAAGGTCTGTGATAGGTGCGGACGGACAGCTCTTCATAGTGTTCTTATTGGAAAGCAAACATGTATGCTGTAACACTTCAGTCATATGTAGAAAATGATCCAAAAATTCAGAAAAAAGTAAAAAAAAAAAAAAGTTTCAATCAAAACAAATGCTTCGGGGGGGATTTCTTCAGAAAGGTCATAGAAGTGCTGTGAAAGTCCTTCAAAAGTCCTCGAAATGCCTCACAAGTCTGTCAGTCTTCAAGTGGCAGTGACTGTGATGAGCATGCCGTCCTCACTGTTAGCTTCTGATGGCCGTCTTCCTGTCTCTGTCTTTGTTCTGCGAGACATGAACAAACAGAGAATCATTAGGGTTGTCTAAGTCAGTCATGACGACAATCTTGTTCATTTAATTGTGAAATTAATCTGATTACATTTTAATGCATGAACAGAGTAACTGTACTGTTTATCCAATAGTTTCCTCGTCCATCCACGTATTATTGTTCTGATATACTACACCCGATACATAGGCTGACTTCAACGACTTCACCAAAGGCCAGTGGATTCACAAATGTTGATTTTCAATTGTCAAATAATCACATTTAATTCTCATTGCGATGAATTTGTAGATGTTAATTAAACAACAATTAGCATGTGATTAATCACATTGATTTTTTTTTTATTGGTTTGACAGATGTAGTGAATACACAACTTCCATTTAAATATTCAATATTTAGGTCAAACTCATGGTTCAGGGTTAAACATTTTTAATCTTTTTTAAACAGTTTACTAATTAGAATTAGATTAGGGTTGAAGGTATTCTAAATATTTTTTATGCAATTATAATTTTATTTATCTTTCTCTTCTCTTAGTTTGTGAAATGTCATTTTTTGAGGTAAAAATGACACTAACTACAACTAACTCATTATAAACTGATCTACTGATTCCCATAAAATTATTTAAAAACATTTATAAAAAAAATGACTCAGTTGAATTCATCTGTTACATAGAAAACATTGCATTTAGTTCCTTCAGTAACCAGAATATTTGAAACTGGAGTGCCTTGCCCATGGACACAACAGATGGATTTAAACCACCAACCATTTGGTTGAAAGACAAACTCCCTCTGCCCATAAATCGTCCCATGGCCTCACGTCTGTCCCAGCTCTGCAGCAGTATATTCAGTTCAAACCCTGGAGCAGGTGAGAGTCGGCCTTTCATTGTGGTGTCATGAAATGACACATTGTTAAAACGAAGGCTTCAGTGAAGCAGATACTGTAATCACCGAGACTGTAAATCAGCGTCAGGCTGTTTATTTAGTCCTGACTAGATTGTTTGTAGTGAAGTTGAACAAACACACACACACACAAATACCAACAGTGTGATGTGGAGGTGTTATTTTTCTTTGGTTTTATCTGAAGCTTGACTTCGTGTGACAGTGCACTGCAGTGATATGTTTCTCATTTATCTGTGGTATCAGAGCAGAGAAGCCCTGATTTCCTGGCTGGTGAACAGACCTTCTGTATCTGGCCAGGAAAATAACATCATATTTTCCTTCCTCACCTAACCCCTGCTCTGCTCATGTCTCAGGACGACTTCTTCCCCCGGCTTTTCTACCGAGAGTCAACAGTCAGTGACTTTCATGGTCGTAATTATTAAAATTAGTAAAAAAATAAAAAAAAAAGATGGGGAAAAAAATGTAAACTCCCACCATCCTCCTGTCCTCTCTTGACTTTTCTCTCCCCCCTTCTTTTATCTCTCCCCATCCCTGCCCCCCCCCCCTCCTCTTCCCCGCCTTCCACTCAGAAGCCCAACACCTGTTCCACATTTCCTCTCAGACCGTGCACAAAATGTAGGTGTGTGGAAAAATAGGTTTGACTGACATCCACAAAGGTGGGTAGGTGTTTGGAAGGGTATCAGGCTGTAATGAGAGCGTGAGATCGCAGGATTTTGGACAGGAATCGGTCCACCCACTGATTGAAGGGAGACGGAGGAGACGCAGGAACTGTTATCGTCAATCCTTCCTCCAGCTGGAGCAAAGGTTCACTAATAGGCCCCTATTATAAAGACATGTGCCATTACCATCAGACTGGGATTTTAATACAGTAAAAAGAAAAAAAATCATATTTTTTCTTGGATACCAAATATATCACTATGATAAAAACGATGTGTTACACTTATACAAACTTTGTATATGACAAAGAGTGCAAATATTTTTAGCTGAGTTTTGGCCAAGTACGGCACATACAGTACTGTAAAACTTTGAGTATCTCCAACATTTCTGGCCCAAATAACTGACAGTATATTTTTAATAAATAGCTTAATGATAAGTCACATTATTAACTACAACACTAACATTAACACATTACAACTAATATATAAAATAATATAAATATACAACAATATAAAATACCCCTAAGTGGTTTAAAAAATATTGCATAATGTTAGTTAAAATATGTTTTTTATTTATCTGGGAATTATATATTGTATGTACATATGTAATATACCTAAAAACATTTCAAATGTATTGAAATGTAATGTATATATATTTTAATTCCCTTGAAAATATGGATGTATTTAAGTGGGTTTAAATAGTAATTTTATTAACATAATAATGAACATTTAATTTTAATAAAATGCCACACTCTTTAGACTTTAGACTCTTTGTATAAATGTTGATTTTTGGCTAGAAATGTCATGTTTTTTGCATATTTTTATAAGTATCAAATATCTTACCCCGATTCCTAAAATTCAAAGTAATTAGCTTAAAAAGAAAAAGAAACAAAAACAAAAATGTAAAGTCACAAGTGACAATGCTCTATGTAAAGCAGGGTGGAAAAGTGCAGCCGTATGTCAGCAGGTGTGGGGTGGGACAGTGGGCTCATGAAAAGCCCACTCAGAAACCACGCATGACAATTGGATAATTGACCAAATTGCACCAAATGACCGTAAAATCAGCCGAGGTGTGGGAGAGAGAGAGAGCTCGGCCGGGGGATTTAGAGAAGCCCAGCTGTAGCTGGTGAAGGTGGTTCAGTCATAGTCGTAGAATGAGTGTAGGTGGAGAGGAGGGGGCTGAAAGCTGCTCTGGAAGTCAAAACAATCTTCCAGGGACTAATAAAGCACGGTCAGATGACATGTCTGCTGTCTCCCTCTGCAAACACACATGCAGACGTAGCAGTGTCCTCCCCGGGGGGTGATTTGTCCAACACTAATATGATTACCTGACCGTGTTTATTTTAGATATAATACCACGATATCACCGCACTGGATCAATATTATTGTTTTATCAACATTCAAACCTCCTGTTTTAACTTTTAATGTGAAGGTAGTAAACACCGGCTTCACGGCATCTGATTGAATTTCACCTTTAATATTGTTTTTCTGAAACTCAATACCTGCTGTTTTTTTACCTATAAATTTGGATTTTCCATCCGATCTCTGCTCTCTCTCTCTCTCTCTCTCTCTCTCTCTCTCCTGTGTTAAGCCGCTCTGTCAAATACAAACGTCTAATTTAGTTTCTGGCTGCGTAGAGAAAGGAATGACTGGTTGGAAAAGAAATGATTCCACTTGGGTACTGGCCTGAAAAATCATACAAAGCTGTTGGTTTTTAACCCTGAAACAAAACTGGTAATACCCCTTTAGTTTGCATATCTCAGGCCATGGAAATTTTGAAATGATAATTCATTAAATGATCACTAGTTATCTGAGATTAGAGGGATGAGCAGCCCAATAAATAAAAAGTTTAAATAAATAAGCAGAATTTCAAATGATATCCTGTAAGAAATGACTCAGAGTTTTACCAGGGGAACAGAATAGTGACTCAGATGATTTAATCTGAACCAGTGATGTTCAGGCTTCACAAACCCAAACTGCTGATTATAATATTTACACTACTTTACTGTATGTAGGTCATGGAACTTTTCCTGAATTCAACCAGGTCAAAGTCAAAGTTTTGAACAGAACTCTGTCTTCTCTTTTGTATTTTAGTTAAAAAAAATATACTGACACTGAGACTCAAACACACTGCCATGATCTTTAATGTCTTGGAAGCTAAAAGTCGGCCAAAACAGTTTAGACAAACAAGGTTTGTGACTTAGCCTGATGAACTGACTGGATAAACAAACGAACTGACTATGGTTCACCAGATATCAAACTAAAGACATGTGAAAGTAAGCTAAGAAAAATAAATCTTTTTTAAAAAGGGTAATGCCAAAAACAAACTAAATGTTCAAACCCTCAGTAAAAACAGCTGCAAGAAGGACATAAACACCATAAATAAAATTCTAGATATCTAAATATTTACAGAATAAGGCTGTGAGGGTGAGCAAAACAATGAGAACTTAGATAAAGAAATTTTAAAAATCCAAAAGTTTTTCCATAAAAGTGGGAATATATCAAGTTTAGCCAAGGGTTAGCTAAAACGTATCATATTAAAACGTTATAAAGTTCATCTGGAAATGCTTAAATGTGATAAAATAACAAATTTACCAGGAAAACATGTCAAAAGTGACCACACAGTTGGCTGCTTTTAGAAGAAAAAACCCAAACATTTTTGATAAAGAAGTCATTGGCCACATAATGCTCATTCAAGAGCCAAGGCTGGACCCAGAGCCAGAGTTTGGATATATGTCTGTTCCACACAAACAGGTAATTCATCATCTGTGCCGCGGAGTGCATCCTGTAACAACCAATGGCTCATTAGCTTCAGTGGATGTTCCTCTAATGGACTCCACTGTTTAAAGAACACAATCCTGCCTTTCTCACTGCGTGCCTTCAGGCTCTGCTCTCTGCTCGGCTCAGCTTTCTGTAGTTTTGCTCTAATTTGCTCTGTGAGCCGCTCTTTCCCCCGAAGACTGAATGACAACAGAATCATAGTTTTGCTAATAGATTTTGTTAGTTATCTGAGCCGACTTCTTCTGTTGGTGTTAAATTAAATCTTAACTGCTTCCATGTGTGCTGGAAACACACGGACAGGTCCATGCATGAAGGCACGCAGTCACACACAAAGTTGGGCTCGGGTCCACACACACACACACACACAGACACATATGCTGGACGTGGGTGAGAATACATTTGAGAATGGCCCGCAGTGTATTAGCAGTGTATGGATGTGCACCTCATTAGCATAGTTTGAAGTCAACGCCAGCAGGAGAAGCTCAGGTTCACAAACCTTTAAGTCTCACATCAACAGCAGCATTATCTATAAATGAGGGCAATTTAGTTTTCATCTCTGACCTTGAGACGTCTGCCTCATGCACACCAGCGCTGACGTAATGTTTCTTTCCAGCGAAAAAAACCCAGAAAAAAACAGACTAATATGCAGAAAACCGCAGTCGTTAG